GATTAGCATGCCTATTATTGTCTGTATCGATTCCCAATTCTTTGTATATATTCATTAATATGAATATAAAGGTAAACTATTTAAATAATTATTATATACATGATTGAGATTTTTTTATTTTACAAACTTCTGCTCAAGCATAAAAAGAAATGCATTACTTATTTCTGGTAATATCCGCACAAACTTTGTAATTGCAAGTATTATACGTATAAAAATCAACATATAGCACTGCCGAACATAAAATATAAAATAATTTAAAAAAAAAGAAAAATAATGTCATCATGTGAAGGGCTTTTACTTTCCAATCTATTTACATCAAGTATCTGCCCATGACTTTAAGGAGAAATTTATGGGAAAATTTATAAGTGAGTATTTCATAATAAGCAATGAACAGCAACAGTTCATACTCCCTCAAGTAAACCTTTACAATAAGTTAAACATCTTAAGAGCAACGTCTTTCAGGAACAAAATAAATTTCGTATATGATGTATATGATTGAGTTCCGCCATACCGAGTTTTTACTGTAATTAATTTCTCTACATGTTTTGATATAAACATTATTCAATTACTTAAAATATACATATATATGTGTTATTGTGGCATCGTTAAAATCGTGTATACGAATTTGAAATGAAAAAAATATTAAGTAAAAAAACTCTTTTTTTCTCATTTCTGTATAGGTATTAAAACGCCCATTTAAGCCCACTCCTACTTTCGTTTTCGACGAACAAATTTTACGGCCATTTAAATATGTTGTCAATTAAGATGGGTAATGGTTTAGCAAGCTACATAATTTTCTAAAAATGATCAACCAATAAAAAAATCAATATTTACCTCAATTACTCATATATTTTCCGTAGAGTTTATATAATTAAATCCAGGACTTAACTCCGCCATTGCGATATAGACACACAATTTCAAAGCGCATGCGTCATTATCACATGATGAAATTGTTATCAATCACGTGACTACTGAATTGTTAGACGAAAATCAGGTCATGTCAAAAGTATACTAAATATTTGTCCTCTTTGTTTACCTTATGATAAAATTATCTTCCATAGACATATCTTATTGACGAGATCGTCTTACGTGCTACTGGTTATCCAGTAAATATTGTAAAAATACTCGAGTTGACAATATCAGTAAAGGAATCATTCCTGATGGAAACGGAATTTAAAATACCAGATCAGGTGGCATTTAAGATGAGTTATGAACAATAGTAGATCTAAAATAATTATCAGCAACATCAGCAATATCAATACTTCTCTGTACTGACGACTTGCCAGATGAATCATTAAAGTCCTTAAAGCAGTATTGACTAACAAAAATTTTAAAAAGAAATATCCCGCTACATCCGTTACGCTTAACATAATAATAGGATAAATCAACATTAGATATCGACGTTAATGGACCAAAGACCCCTTTCCCCTGATAACAGTAGGCCACACAGGAACAAAACAGATAAAATGGTGAAGGAGGGAGATAATTTTCTTTAAATAAAAGTGTGTTCATACTGAAAAAAGATACATTTTTTAATGACGCGCCTATAGATTAAGACTTATGTTTCCGTACAACGCAAATTCAATGACACGTCTATAGAACGCTAACAGTTCTCTGTTTATCGGACATGATGCCATGGCACAATATGTACATGTATGTATAATACTGTTTTTACGGACTCGGAAATACAGCACGGATATGTGCTAAATAATTTTATTCGAATCTAAGTCTTACGGAGCAAAAACTAACCGCAACATCGTTTTATCAGTATTATAATTGCAGTTGATAATTTTTAATAATAGCCTATAATGTTCTTCCTATTGGTGATGTTTTATTCCTGTCATTGAATCTATTAAAATAAGAAAAGTAGAAGCCACATATTTTTTCTGGTATTTTTATGCTCCCCGAAAAATTTCGGGGGAGCATATAGTCGGCGCCTTGTCCGTCTGTCCGTCCGTCCGTCTGTCCGTCCGTTTTCTTGTCCGGAGCATAACTTGAAAACCCTTGGAGATAATTTGTTTAAACTTCATACAGTGGTAGAGGGCATTGAGGGGGAGTGCAGTGTCAAAGAACCATAACTCTATTTTGCCCGGTTTTTGAATTATCTCCCCTTATAGAAAAATCTTGTCCGGGGCATAACTCTAAAACTATAAGAGATATCAACATGAAACTTTGTAGGTGAATAGATCTCAATGGGTAGATGTGCAGTGCATAAGAACAATAACTCTTTTTGTCCTAATTTTGGAGTTATTGCCCTTTGTTAATTTCAACACTTTGAACTTTGTCCGGAACATAACTCTAAAACTATAAGAGATATCAAGATGAAACATTGTAGGTAGATAGATCTCATTGAGTAGAAGTGCAGTGCAAAAGAACCATAACTCTGTTAAGCCTCATTTTTGAATTATCTCCCCTTATAGAAAAACCTTGTCCGGGGCATAGCTGTAAAACTATAAGAGATATCAACATGAAACTTTGTAGGTGAATAGATCTAAATGGGTAGATGTGCAGTGTCAAAGAACCATAACTCTATTTTGCCCGGTTTTTGAATTATCTCCCCTTATAGAAAAATCTTGTCCGGGGCATAACTCTAAAACTATAAGAGATATCAACATGAAACTTTGTAGGTGAATAGATCTCAATGGGTAGATGTGCAGTGCATAAGAACAATAACTCTTTTTGTCCTAATTTTGGAGTTATTGCCCTTTGTTAATTTTAACACTGAACTTTGTCCGGAACATAACTCTAAAATTATAAGAGATATCAAGATGAAACATTGTAGGTAGATAGATCTCATTGAGTAGAAGTGCAGTGCAGAAAAAACATAACTCTGTTAAGCCTTATTTTTGAATTATCTCCCCTTTAAGAAAAATCTTGTACTGGACATAGCTGTAAAACTATAAGAGATATCAACATGAAACTTTGTAGGTAGATGTATCTCAATGGGTAGATGTGCAGTGCACAAGAATCATAACTCTGCCTTGCCTAATTCTGGAGTTATTGCCCTTTGTTTATTTTTACTTTTTGAAGTTGTCCGGAACATAACTCGGAAGCTATAAGAGATATCAACAAGAAACTTGGTAAGTTGATAGATAACAATGATTAGAAGTGCAGTGCAAAGAACAGTTACTCTGCCTTTCCTAATTTTGGAATTATTGCACTTTGAACTTTTTCCATGGACATAACTCTGAAACTTCAAGAGGTGTACTTTCCTGTGTCCAAAACCTATTCGGGGAGCATCACCCGGCTCAAACCGGGCTCTTGTTTATAGTTTGCCTCGATAGATAGGTTTCAGCCCCATACAGTAATATAGCTATATTCTTATGTAATTTTCGTAAAACTCTTAGTAAAAAATCCAAATGATGCTTATTTTGATATGGGTTCAACTTGAATAAATGGTTTTCTGGTTTGTTTCTCTTTCTAGTATCGTCATAAATTGTCTATTTGGAGTCTCAATTTAGCCCCCTGTACATTATTTTCTGTCGAACTTTATGCCTACGTCCATAACCAGTTGACGTTGCCAATTTGCATAAAAAAAGAGTTGATTTTACTTAGTTACATGTACACGTCAAGCAGCACAATTTACGTTAAATCGTTATTTCTATTTTCCGATTAAATGGTAGGAATGTTGCGACGTAAGAACATACACAGGGTAAGGAAATAACTATTTCTACCAATCTTAATCAAATATTGATTTGGCATTATATTTAACAGTTAACGTTCTAATAAACAATAAAAATGACTGCAATGCGATTTGACATCAACAAAGTCCTTTTACTTTGCAATCGTTTTAAATCAAGTAAGTGGCATTGAGTTAAAAGAGAAATTTATAGACGAATGTATTAAGATTGTTCATAAAAAAACAAGAACCTGACAAGGACAGTTTTATTTTCCCCACAGTAAACCTTTTATAATGAGTAGCTGTAACATCTTTTAGGAACAACCTAAATATTTGTATTTGAATGGGTTTTGCTCTTCCGGGTAGTTCTGTAATATATTTCTCTACATATTTTGATATGAAAATAATTTAATTACCTCGTGTAAATTAAATATGAAATTAAAAAAATATGTTTTTGTAGCAATGTTAACTTCCTGTAGAACATTTGAAAAGAAAACACGAGCTTTTATTTCCAATCTGTATTGTTCTACAGGCTAGAAAACGCCCACTTTTGCCCATTCCTACTTTCGTTTTCGGCAAAACAGATTTTACGGCCATTTTATCCATCAAGATAATATAACCAGCTACATTATTTGATAAAAGAAATCATCACATAAAAATAAATAAATTATATTTACCGTAATTTCCTCACGTACTGTCCGTAAAGCCTAAATCGTTTAATCCAGGACTTAACTCCGCCATTGCGATATTGACACACAATTTTACAGCGCATGCGCTAATATCACAAGATGACTTTGTTATCTATCACGTAAATAATGAATTGTAAAATGAAAATCAGGTCATACAAAAATATACTAGATAATTGTCCTCTTTTTAAATTATTGTTATGATAAAATATTAATATTCTTTGTTTTTGTGTAGAAAAAAACACATTATGGCTGAATGTTTAAGTAAATCAAATTATCAAATACAGACTTGACATGAAGTTAAAACTAAAACCATCGCACTAAAAATCAAGAGAAAAACCTGGAAACAACAACAACATTTGTCTGAGATTCGTGCGGAGAACCATACACCCCTTTAGCTCTGGAGTATTCTTTTTCTAGAACACGGGCTTTAAGTTCAATTTCACATTGAGCCTTTATAATCTTTCTTTATATAAAGTAGATGTAAACGTAATATTTATCTATGTTGTTTAAGATGACAATTGGAATATTTTGTCTGTTCCTCGTCTTGGTTGTCAAGATTAATTGTTTCACTGTCAGGAAAGGTTTCCTCCCATAAATGATTTCATGTGTCCATCTATCTAATATCTATCAGTTTTTTGTTTCATGAACATCAGTATCTCTGTTTTTGTATGGTGATAGCTTTCTTGGTGGAATTGTATCAGGAAATACAAACACTTCTTGCTCATTGGTACGATTTCCACCCGCATGTGTCCTACTGGTAAACGGTGAACGTAAGGCCAATGCCGCTGAGATTAAAACGGTTAGGACTAGGTAATGGAACATACTCAGTGTTGTAGGACTTTGCATGTCTGTCGCATCATAGACAATTTCTGGTAATAGATGTGCGTTCTCTCTTACAGAGCTTGCAACTACAGTTACCGGTTTTGTGGTGTTGACTCGTGTTTCATATACACTAGCTGTGTAGTGTCTTAGTGTATCAAAATGAACAACATTGGCTGAGGAGGATGGTCTACCGCTGTCAACCTCATCTTTCCTCGATGGTATATCTTGACCTAAATCTGACTAGCGTAGAATTGCAGGTCTCTTTCTGACACGCAGTTCATCTGTTCGATCAACTGTGTCTCTGGACAGCTGACGTTTTAACTTTGTTTTTGGAGGATCAAGAAGTTTGATAGGGTGTTCCTCTAGGTTGTCATCTTCTTTGGTATTCAGATTTTTTTCTGGACAAAGAAAGTCACATTAATATTTTGCAAACCAGCAGTATTACTTGATGCGACTTTTGAAATTCAAATAAGTCTATAAAGAAATGTAAAGTGTTACTTTTAATAAAATAACATAAAATGTTAACGAGTTATTTTGCGTGTAGATGTTTCTATTTTTTTCTTCTCCATTCTTCATACCATGCAGGGTATGGCGAGTGAGACGGTTGAAATTAAACTTAGATACGGTGTACACAATTTAATAATGTTTGTTGTAAATGATATGATGTTCAAACAAAAATAATTGTTTACAAAAAAATGACTACATGTTATTTAATCATTTAAAAGTTTTACTGCATAAGGTATATAATTGGAATACGGGTTTTGATAAGATTTGACCTGAATTGAATTTGAAACCTTGAGGTTGAAATGTTTTGTCGTAAATGTGCCATTGAATGACATTGATAAGATAAAAATGGCAAACGTTTTATCAAGACAGGAAGTGCTTTTTCATGATACAAAACGTGTTCATTCATATACTGGGAAAAATGAATTAAGATAAACGTTTGAGTTAAACTTGTTACCTGTTAAGAAATTTTAACAGGTACTACAGTTGATATGTTGAAATATTGAACAATCAAAATCGCAGTTGTTGCGAATGAATTTGGGAACCTTCGGCAATTTCCGTATATTCCGTATACAGTATCTGATATGTTCTTGAAAGTGTTGACATTTATTCAGTTTGACGCACCGACAGTGTTAACAAGACATTCATAATGACTGACAATGTCAAATTTATATATAGACTTTTTAATTCATAACAAATTATATATTGACTTGAAAGCCAAAAAAGTAGAAAAAACATATGTTATTAAAAATAAAAATATACAAAAAACCATACCTTTATGAACAGTTTCTTTTGCCATGTCGTCAATACTTGTTTTAGATGAGCATAAGAGCACAGGGGCTGTAGCTGGACACTCAGGATAATTACCGTTCCGTGCCGGTACCCTCCCAGACAGACTTTCATGCAAGAGCCGGTTGAACAGAGGAAACTTAAACCAATAATAGATATTAATTCATATACTTTTCTATTTAAGGTGAAAATTCTTTTGTAATTTAAAGGAAGCTATGGCCTAATGGTTATGGAGTCTTCCTCTCAAACCAGTGATCATGGGTTCGAGCCCTACTCAGGTCACGACAGTGTTTCTTCATATGGTCTCTGTGGCTGGGAGGTTAATATCACAGACTTTTAAATCACCACTAGGGATTCGAATCTCGCTAATGCTTTAAGATTTTGTCATAAGGGAAAGCTCTTCAGGTAGCTTATTAATGTGTTTAAAAACGCGTCATAGGGCAATGTAAGTGTATATTACGTTTTGAATAAGCATTGAAAGGGGTTCGATTATAAAATGACATAGTAGAATTTTATACTGAAAGATTGGACACTCCCCATGTTATTTATTGACTTCAATGCATTTGAGCTGAAATTACTTGAGAAGCCACTCTTTCTTAGACTGAAGATAATAAAATCGGAGCGTTTATTCGACAATTGCCGATTGAACTGTCTATGAAAGTTGGGAGGGGGGACTGAATATCCTATAACGCGTATTGTTAACAATAATGACATTAATTATAACATACCTTTGGTTTCGAAGGTTTTCCTGGTGAAGTTGATGGAGACACCATAGATACAAGTATCCAAATAATATATACAAAAGTTTATCATCCGAATATTCGAAATATCCAAAAGAAATTTAAAGACACAAAAGATACGTCTATAACAAAGGCAATGTGTACATCCACGTTAAGATTATTAAACTATTGCATATACACAGAGACTGTTAAATAATTGTTTATTCGGATACCCGTGTCTGAATCCATTGAAATCAACACCCGTAAGACCCTTTGTGTACTTTGATACGCTAAGCTATTGCAGTAGATTTCGATAAATCTAATTCATGATTTAATTTCACAAAAGGGCATGTGGCTCATATGCTGTAACTTTACCCAAACGCTCATTGGAAAATGAGTTAGTCGTTGAAATAATCTTTTTTTTTCTTCACAAAAATGCCTGCACAAACGATTAATTCATTAACTATTTATTTTAGTAGCTTCTGCATTATTTATCCATTAGATATTCCGTATATTCAACGCCTGCATAAAACCACAGTGTAATTTTGAATAAACAGTCATTTCTACTTTATTTTCTCCCTCAAAATGAAATCATTTATTTTCTTGTACAGGATATTGAATTGTTTGCGCATATCACAATTTGAAAATTAACCAGCGTAAAATTTCTAAATGCATGAGTTTGAGTTACATTTCCGAATGGTCCTGATAATAAACGCGATTTATTACATCTTCAGAAGGAAGAGAGGACTTCTTATAAGGTACATTGAGCGTTGAATTTCATCAAGCGAGATGTAAGTTATTTAAATTTGATATGCACACACGTAAGATCTAACATCGTCATGTAAGATTTTATAATTAAACGTGAATTGGTTTATAACTGGAAGGTCTGTATACCATAAATTAGATTGATGATACATGTAGTATTTAATATAATTAAGAATAATATATCCCAAACTGTGATTTTATCGCTCAATAACATCAATGTTTGGAGGTCGGATGCCAGGAATTATATCACGAGGGCCGAGTGATATAATGATGCGCATCCGAACGACAAACAGTGATGTAATCAAGCGATTTGGATATATTATTTCGATTCTAACACGACATTGATCAACAAATAAAGGTTGCCGTACCTGATATTATGCAAAATTGCGCCTGATTTGCTTCCGTACTTATTGTCAGCGCGTCGGATTTTATAGTGGTTACGTCACATGTATAATGATTACGTCACATGTCTAAATATAGTACGTCAAACAGTGATTTTATAGCATAAAAACACACACTTTCGGTTCTTCTATGGTCAATAGGGAAAAACGCGGGTCGTGTTAGAATAAGTGATAACAAGCTAGAAAAAATGTGTAAAGATGTTCCAGAAAGTGTTAAAGGCATGATCTGATATAATATATAACTATATAAAGAAGATAGAATCTATTAAAATGCTCAAAAACAAAATATTATTTTACTTCCTACTTAAAACTTTATCAAGATTCTTTTTTTTTTCATAAAATATTTTATGCTATGTTCATATTTTAATTCAAGATTTGATATAGACTAGAGCAATGTAAACATATTTAGATTTATAAAATATCGACTTTGTAGGACAAAAGTATTTCTTATAAGTGACAATAAAAATATCGACTTTGTAAGACAAAAGTATTTCTTATAAGTGACAATAAAAATATCGACTTTGTAGGACAAAAGTATTTCTTATAAGTGACAATAAAAATATCGACTTTGAAGGACAAAAGTATTTCTTATATGTGGCGATAAAAATATCGACTTTTAAGGACAACAGTGTTACTTATTAATTAAGATTGAAAATCAACTATGACGAAATTATGTGTATTTTATTATGAAGTTTAGATATTTGATCTACTGCTTAAAAATATGCATTGACGACTGAATAACAGGCACGAGAAAATCTTCTAACAAAAGATAAAAGATCCAGAATATCATTCAAGACGCCGAAAAGACAAGAACCGGTGCAGTGTGGATGATGGGGTGTAGTTTGTGAACATAAATTATTAATCTTACATAAAAACTGCGCACGTAGTTTATACGTTAACGAAGAAGAAAATATTCACCCATGACTGTATACGCATCGTTATTACACGTTTTTTAATATACCTGACTCGGGCTGCCTTGTAAAACTGCTTTTTGCAGCTTTGAAAGTCCAACAAAAGACTGGCGAATTAACTTCAATATTGAGTTAGTTTTCGCAAGGCTTTACCGACCTTAAAATGCAAGCGCGTTGTTTTAGCGAAACTGACCTATCGGTACGTCTTATCGCATGGTTTGGAACTTTTTTTTTGTTCTTACTAACCCATTATATTCAGTACACTTTCAATGAGCATTTGAAAACTGTATTGATATATAGCAGTCAGTTTTTTCATTGAATCATACAGAAAAAAATTCAACTGCTATATAGCAGTTGAGGGTGTTTTGGCACCTTATATATATCAGTGTAGTTTTTTCACCGAGGTTCCAATGGGGCAGCGGTAACGAACATTCCCAAGAAGTAACAACAAAAAAGTAAGAAAGAAAATTAATGAAATGAATTTGTTCTCATATAATTATGCAACTGCTAAAATCAAAAGATACATCCGCTGAGTGAAATATTTCCACTTTAAAAAGCCCTTAAATCTTAAATCCGAATAACTTTCTCCGCAAACTATCAGTTTACAATCCGTCTCTATCATTGGACGTTGTTTTAAGTTTTCAATATTATATATTGCTATAAGAAAGCTTACGACACCATAGGCTGGTATTTGTTCATATTGTCTGGGAGTGAGAAGGTGAAAAACTGAAAGGGCACAAGAGAGAGAAATGCACGTCTTTTTTGTTGTTGTTGTTGTATTTTTCTGATTAAAATGAAAATGCGATAAAACAATTAAAATATACTACCACTACCTCCCATCATCCACACTGGCCGGGGCGACATCTCGGGATGTTTCTGCAAAACAACTTGTCTCGGCCTAACGGCCACGACATTTTTTTAGCAGAAACACCTCTTGATGTCGCCCCAGCCAGTGTTGTATCCTCGTTACTAACTCGTTTCATATACTAAACTAGTAATTATTACCTATTGACAGCTTTGACGTTTTTTGAGACAGTTTTGACGTTTTTATATCTTTTTGAGATAGTTTGGGTGCTTTGACGTATCAACAGTATTACCTTTTTGATTTTTTTTAGATTTAAGTTGCAAATTTCATTAGAATAACTACCTTTAAATGTTCAGTTGTGTTATCAGTGTAAAATCAATTTTTAGTCCAATTTCATAATTTATAAAATCCCCTAATTCAATGCGGTATATTTACAAACGGTAGAATATTTAAGTACACTTGCTTTCGGATTAAAATTACTGTATAACGGTTTCTATGGGGAATTCTTTAAAGATTTGTAAAGCTGACGAACTATTTATTTAAGTTTTATATCCTACAAAATAAGGCAATCTATTAATCCACAAGGTTTTTAACATCAAAATTTAAGGGAGTATTTCTTATAATGATAAACCAATATGTAGAGGTCTATATAAATACACTGAATTCCGGGGCGTCGTTAATGTCGTTTGTCCCTCACCGCTGTTGGTTCAAATCCCGCCAGAGACTTTAGATTCTTACATCTGAGGAAGCTATCCAGGTAGCTTAAGAAACGTCGATGGTTCTACCAAGGTGCTCTTCCACCACTTATAAAGCTGTGAAGTCGCCATATAACGTTATAGTGAAACACAAAACAATTTATTGTGAAAATGTTCTTAAATTTGCGTTTGATATAAACATGATAGAGCTGAATTTTCATAACCAATTAGGTTTAGGCGGCTTTACCCCCATCCCCACCCCCTCGATTAAAATTCATATAACAACAAAGATCGATTTAATTGGAACAATTTTGATATTTTAATGCACCGGTAAATTCAAAAGAAGAATCCTTAAGATTTTCAAGCCTCTGGCAATTCTATGTTTGTAAAAGATCTCATTTCCGCTTTGCACCATTACGTTTAATGCCACTCTATCGGTTTAATGCCACCATTTCCGATTTGCACCCTTACGCTTAATGCTACTCTTTCCATTTGAGACCAACTTGCAATCGGAATATCTCGGTTATAACTATTGCACGTCTTATGTAAAGTAAAATTGTTTTATTGCTAAAAGTACTCAATGTGAACGGGTTGTCACCCCGGACGAGGAAGGGAGGCAAGGTAGCGGGAGTATCAGACCCCAGGTAACGGTCACTGCAATGACCCTCAGACGGTCAATTTGAAGGATTAAAACTCCTGCTCTGTGACCAAAACATAATCCTATCATAAGTGCGCAGAACAAAAAAAAAAACATCCAAAACCTTACCGCATTCGCATAACCATTGACCCGGGATGAAGAGGTTGAAAGGACGGGGCGGGGCTATCATTGATACATGCATATATTTGGCACGTGGATTTATTTATTTATTATTATTACTTGCGAGAACAATAAACTTACTATGCATCACCGTTTACACATGAACTACCTGCCGGTATAAACAAACTATCGTGATACCACAAACATAAACTTAATATGTTACGCCATTGTCGTCTGCCGCGTTATTGTGTATCTCCCATTATGATGAGATACCGAAATAGATTATCATTTTAATATTCTCATATCACGTGATCTGATTATTGTAACAATTTTATTTAATTCTCGTCTGATTTATTTCTATAGTAACGGAGAAAGATAGGATTTCTACCGTTACATTCCCGATGCAAAGATTTTTACGACATTCGTCCAACGTTAAATAGAAATTGAGAAATTTGAATCTCAAAAAATGAGACACAGAATAAATTATTATATAGGCCTTCATTGAATAGATTAATTGAAATGCGGTGTCTTAAAGAACAGTTTAAGAATATCGAAATATCACGTATTGACGGGAACACCTGTTTATAAATTTGTGTGCTTTTATTAATGTGATGAAATAATACAGACAAGACGGTGTCAAACAATTTTCAAATTTCTCAAAACAAGCCGTCTTCATTTCTTCTTCTGCTGAAATTATATACATGTATATATTCATGTATGTTTTGGGTAAGACGCTGAAATTATATACATGTATATATTCATGTATGTTTTGGGTAAGACGCTGAAATTATATACAAGTATATATTCATGAATGTTTTGGGTAAGACTCTGAAATTATATACATGTATATATTCATGTATGTTTTGGGTAAGACGCTGAAATTATATACAAGTATATATTCATGAATGTTTTGGGTAAGACTCTGAAATTATATACAAGTATATATTCATGAATGTTTTGGGTAAGACTCTGAAATTATATACATGTATATATTCATGTATGTTTTGGGTAAGACGCTGAAATTATATATATGTATATATTCATGTATGTTTTGGGTAAGACGCTGAAATTATATACATGTATATATTCATGTATGTTTTGGGTAAGACGCTGAAATTATATACAAGTATATATTCATGTATGTTTTGGGTAAGACGCTGAAATTATATACAAGTATATATTCATGTATGTTTTGGGTAAGATGCTGAAATTATATACATGTATATATTCATGAATGTTTTGGGTAAGACGCT